CCGGCGGCAGGCCGCCGAGGGGCCATCGCCGACCCGCGAGATACGACAACACAGGCGAAAGTGGTGCTGCCTGTGGTCATGGGTTGGGTCATGGGTTGCAGCAGTCTGCTGCCGCCGTTGATGATGACAACGGCCGCGGCCGCGACCCTCTCCCGAGCCACGCCTCTCGCCGGCTGCGCGTGGCCGCCCCCGCCGCTGCCGTAGAAGCGGAGGGTTCGCGATGCCCCCTTACGATGCTGTCGCAAGCTGCCGGGGTCGCCGGGTTTGCTACCACGACAACCACCGCAGCAGCCATCGCCCGCATCACGGAAAGCGGGTTCATCTCCAGGCTGCGACGCTTTCGCCGCCTTTGCTCCGCGAAATCTGCAGATCCACAGCGCTTTCCGTGACCATCCATGGTCTACAAGCTTACAGGCGACACAAGCAAGCCACCTGGGGACTGTCCCCGAGATCTGGAGTGCGAGAGGGTGCTCAGCGTGCTGGCGACTGCAGTGCAACTCGAGTGCTCCCATTTCGGAGTCATTTCGGAGTTTCTCTTCGGAAAATGCCGAAAATGAAGCGGCGCCCGAAAAATTCCGACGCTTCATTTTCAGCATTTTCCGACAAGAAATCGGCATTTTCCGAAAAAGTAGGGCGCATGTCGGCATATTCCAACAGAACAAATCTCGTTAAGAACCCTCCTAAACCGAAATATGAGCTGGCAAACTGAAGAAATCGCAAGCAACACCCAGGTTGCGACACTCTGCCCTGCGCCTGTTGTTGCTAAAAACTGAAAACAGCAGGCCGGGTGGATAGGATCTTTTTAAGTGTGTTATCCTCTGTGTCGGGTGCTGCTTATGGCGTTTTTACAGCTGCTCTTTGGTGAGCAATACCAAGTCAACCTGTTGTGTGCCGAGCAAAGCGTGTATTAGGCGGTTTCTTATTACGGTTTGCAAAATTCCAGTTGAAAAATTGAAATTTTCAATTCCCAGCCGAACAGACCTTCTTACGGTTTGGAAAATCGCTTTTATTGAGAAATACATCTTCAACTCCGGCCAAAAATATTGGAAACGCTCTGCGCAGTTGAAATTTTCAGAAATTTTCAAGTCGCGGCCGAGTTGAAAAAGCTAGTTGAAAATCCAGACCTAGGGGGGGGAGGTGCATCACACAGACCCCCCATCACACCTGCTTTGGTCGCTGGAAGCACCCGACAGTGCACAACAGCGCACCACAAAGCAGCACAGCACAGCACAGCACAGCACAGCACAGCACAGCACAGCACAGCACAGCGCGTGACAGCCTAGCACAGCGCCTCACACGCGCAGACCCGTTGCTTCGTTGTCAGCGCGGTGCGCCCGATATGGGGACCGACGACGGTCTGTTGGAAGCAACAGCAGTGCTGTCAGTCGCGTTGGCGGCTTTGCACCAGATCCAACAGGAGGATGGTCGCCGGCGCACAGCACGCTCGATATCCTATTGGGATGCTGTGCCGTTCGCGCGCTTGATCACGGAGTACGCGTACGAGATGGCCGCGTTCTGCAGGATGTTCACGTTTTGGCTGTCGCCTTGTCGCAACCGAGTATCGACCGCAGCAGTAGCGCATCGGAGTAGTTGTTCGCGCCTTGCAGCAGCAGTGGTTCCACTAGCGGCATGATGTTGCGTGGCTTGACTAGCGGCATGATGTTGCGTCGTCTGGCGGGGGTGTAATTGTGACCCCCCCCC